TAAGAATCTAGACGTGGCAAACCACGTATAATAAAATAAAAACAAAAGCAGACCCTTGACCATTTTGCATTAATCGGCGGCCTCCATCGCCCTTGTCAGTTTTTCCACACAAAGTTACAAACTTACAATAGCGAAGGCACTACTAAATCAACAGCACATGCTCTGATAGTCATACATTTATAAATTATATTATATAATTAGGCAAAATCAAGGATTCAAGTTTTTCATTTTAGAGAATCAAAGATTCAGGTTTTTTATATAATAATATTCATATATAGCTTTGGGAATCAGCAGGCTGCAACAGGAGAGGGTGTTGGGAGGAGATGGAGATGGCGGTGGCTGAACTGGTGGAGGGGAAAAAGGAGGCGGTTTCTCCGACGTATTGCGTCACCGGCGCAACCGGGTATATAGGGTCGTGGTTAGTGAAGGCTCTGCTTGAAAGAGGCTACATGGTCCATGCCACCGCCCGGGATCCAGGTTTGTCCACCTATTGATTTTTTATTGTTTTTGTTTATTTGTTTATGTTAAGATTTTTTTTTTCTTTCTTTCTTTTTCACTTGTATTTATAAGTTGGGAATTCGAACTTAAAATTTTTCAGAAAAAAAACATATTCTTATTTCTTACAGACTCCTACGTTGTACCAAAGAAGCTCTACTTTGTTCACAAAAAAAAAAAAAAAAAAAAAAAAAAAAAAAAACCTCTACCAGTTGGCAAAAAAAATAATTTAATTATACTTTAAATTATAAAATAAAAACTATAAAAAAAAACCCTCTAATAATAAAAAATTTATCCTATATAATAATTAAATTACGCAATTCAAATTACATAGCAATTTTTTTTCTTATATATGATTTGGTCGTTAATTGGACTAAAGAATCTTGCTAGTTACAAATTGAAATCATGCAATGGGTAGCAAATTCTTGGGCCATTTTTTTGGGAGTACATTACTTCACTGGATTATAACTGGGCCTGACCAAAATTTTTGCAGCTTGGGCGGAGCCTATATTAATTAAACCGTTGGTGGGGAACAGGCAAAAATAAGATCGAGGTCCTTCTGCTAGGATAAAATTCAATGTCCAATAAACTTTATACTTCGCCTAAATCCTTGGATTAAGGCTCTAAAAGTACAAATCTCACTAAATATCTCTTCAAATGTCTTAAGAGGAAAAGAAAGTTAATCATGAAGTACAAATGAATAATCACTTCATAACCACTTTGAATTCCATGCTTCTTTCTCCCCTTAAATTATTCATGCCCATATGTTACAGGAAAGGCCCAGTATCTGTTGTCACTGTGGACCGGTGGTGACCGCTTGAGATTGTTCAGAGCTGACATGCAAGAGAAAGGGAGCTTTGATGATGCTGTTAGGGGCTGCGATGGTGTATTTCATGTTGCAGCTTCAATGGAGTTTGATGTCCCTGCAGATGGGAATGTTGGTAATGTCACCTTTCTTTATCTTCATGCAATATCTAGTGTTAACCCCCTGTATAAAGAAAACAAGAAAAGCAAAGTTATTTGCAGTTTTTAACATAATTTCTTCTCTATCATGAAGAGGCTTATGTTCAATCAAATATTATTGAACCTGCAATCAAAGGAACCAAAAACCTCCTTAAGTCTTGCTTGAAATCTAAAACTGTGAAGAGGGTTGTGTTCACTTCCTCCATCAGTACTCTCACTTCCAAAGACAACAGTGGAAAATGGAGACCAATTGTTGATGAGTCTTGCCAGACTCCGGTTGATCATGTGTGGAATACAAAACCGAGAGGATGGGTAAAGTTATCTAGTACTTTTCTTCAGATGTATTCTCTACATGGGAATTGTTCTTTCCATAACAGAAACATACCTAATTCCAACAGGTTTATGTTCTCTCCAAGCTTTTAACAGAGGAAGCAGCATTCAAGTTTGCAAAGGACAGTGGCATTGATCTTGTTTCAGCGATCACACCAACCGTTGCAGGCCCTTTCATCACATCAAGTGTTCCAACAAGTATTCAAGTGCTCATGTCACCTATCACAGGTTGTTACCAACAAGCCTTCTAATTCATTTCAATCTACTGGATAACATAAATAAATGGTAATATCAAAAACTATGAACCAAAAAAAGACATCCAAATTCTGCACGAGAAAGTTGTTCAACCTAGTCATTAGAATATGCATGCCATGAATAGAAAAATATGATGATGTTTGAATTTTAAACAAGAAATGAGCATTAAAGTAAACGGAGATACATATACGTAGTAACTTGTCAACTTTTGGCTACGTCTATAGGGAGCCCCAAGTTCTACTCAATACTATGTGCAGTGAACGCTAGAATGGGGTCAATTGCTTTAGCTCACATAGAAGATATATGCAGTGCCCACATTTTCCTGATGAGGCAGAGCGATGCACAAGGTAATTACATATGTTGTGCCAGCAGTTGTCTGATGTCTGAATTGGTCAGTCTTCTGGTTCAAGAGTATCCTTGCTCCAACATTCAGAGGTAATTAACCCTAATATACTAATAAAGCCAAGATAAAAAATTTCAAAGTGAAGATTGTAGATTCAAATTTTTTTGGTTATGTTTCCAGGTTGAAGGAAGGTCACCAAGGCCCAATACCATCTCAGATTTCTTCAAAGAAGTTAAGAGATTTAGGTTTAACTTTCAAGCATGGCATAGAAGATATAATTCACCAAACAATTGCTGCTTGTGTAGATCAGTGCTTTCTGCCTCCATTGAAAAACTAAGTGCCATTGTTTTTGACAAATCTCACTACCCTTAACTAAACTCTGCTATGATGACATAGAAGGAAGACCTAAAATTCATTTAGTGCTTGGGACATGTTTTCTTAGCATTGTACTTATCAAAGTTCAAACCACATGTGTATCATGTTTAATTTCATAGAAATGAAAGCGTGACTTGCGGCACTAAATTTTTCATTACTTCATTTCAAACTTAGTCTATGTTTTCATTAGTTGCCTTTTCTCAAAAAATATAAATTTAAAAAATAAAAATAAAAAGAGTCTACATTGTTCATTACCTAAATTGTATGCAAATCTACAAGGTCTAAGCATACTAAAAGAGCTATTCTTGTTGCATACCTACCATAGCAATTTAAGATTGTAGCAACAATAAGAAACTTATAGGCAGATTATTGTTGTTAAGTATCAACCAAAACAAATCAGAAGAAGAACAGGAATGATTCCATATTCTTTCAACTTTTCAAATGTTTGAAACTATAGCAGAATGAAGACATTCATGATATGAGCTTTAAGAATGTATCTTTAATGCAAAAGATACTACTTCCTCAAATAACATACCAACTTTCATATTTATGGTCCAGGTACAAATCTCATGATCCATATTACTCGACATGGGGGGACCGTTTTTGGATTATACTCTATGACACTGAATTTTGATAACAATGATACTTGAAAGTACTCTCAAGTTAGATGACAATTCTTTTGGGACCCAAGATAAAATGTTGAGAAGAGGAAGAAATCTGGGTGCTTATTAGTAGGAGCAAGAAGAGGGACGGTAAAAAAATATTTGGGGGGGGGGGGGGGAGGTGAGGGACAAGACAAACTTCAGATTCTACTTTGAGAGCTGGTTCTGATATCATTTCTGTGTCTTGTACTCATATTTAGGGTGGTTGGTCTCTGCAGAAACCAATTTACAGCTCTCCAATATTGACTTACAGTCGCTTAGCCTGTCATGAGATTGACATAACCAAAGTCCACAGAGGTGGCACCCCACAAGGGATGAAGAGTCCATTTCATGAAATAACTTCATTTGGTGCTCATCAGCTTTCAAACAACCCCCATTCAAAATGAATTTAAGAGTTAAGACTACAGAATTCATTGCGAATTCAATTTTCAGGACAAGTGCAATGGGGGTTAGTATGCATTTATGAGATGCATGTGCCAAAGGGCATTAAAAGCTGTACAGAAATGCAATAAAGAAATTATATGATAAGTAAAACCCAGGTGGAAACTATAATGATCCTTTAAAATTAACCAATAAAATTACTCAATGCAATCCAATAGACAATGGAGAAGCAGAGGAAAGAAAGTCTTCTGACCTTATCTCTTTTGTGTTAGGCATTAGCTTGCTCCACCAAGATGACATAGGGAGCTCCAGAGGAAAAGCAAACCTGAAAATTCAAAAAATTAAACATTGCATTCACAGAAAAATTGTGAATAAGAATATGAGCGAAGAAATGGAATTTCTTCCAGGACATTGAACATCTTGCAATCCTTCCTGGTATTTGTCCTCTACCATATGTGCTAAGCTTGCTTTGTTGCATGAAGGCCGTAAAAAAAATAAAAAAAGGCCTTTGTTTATTGCATTACCCTTTAGACAGGACCACATGCTGTTTCACACGTAGGATTGCTTGTGGACATTCACATTGTTTTAAAAGTACAGATACTAGAAAACACAAACTGCTGGAGGAGTTAAATGTCCTCGCACCACTAAGATCCATGGAGTTAGGATCCTTTTAACAACTCTTATGTATGCAGGTGAATTGAAATTTGAGAATGAATATTTAGTTTTCTTTTTCTGCTTTTAAATTTACAAACAATCAGACAACTGTGGTTGAGTTATGATTTGATCATTGATATCACCATTTACAGTTTCAATAATTCAATAACATGTTGGTCATTACAAATTGAGGTTTTCTAGAGTCCTGCTTTTTCCACATTAAATTTTTTTTTTTTTAAAAAAAAAAAGAAGAGAAAAAAACACCATTTAACATTCAAATAATGATGCCAAATACTTGTGAATTTGGACTACTTGCATACATAAAGGAGGAGAAATAAAGTTTGGTATACGAAGCATAAAATGAAAGAAGTTCAATGGTATGTAAAGATTTTAGATGTTTTCTCTGCAATACAATAAGGAGGGAGACATAAAGTTGCATAAAAGATTCAAATGTGAGGTGCACAAGTTATATATATTAGCAAGGTCAAGTAGATTGAAAGAAGAATTACTGTTAGAATTCTACTGAAAATCAGAGAGAAAATCTCTACCAATGGTAGAAAAGGATTCACATAACTAAAGCATTTCTATCTTCTCTTTAAGGTTTACAGATTACCACAAAACAGGGAAGGAGAGCTCTAGGATTGAGCAGATAAAGCTCCTCAATATTAGAGTAGAGACCAACTTTTCCGGCCAACGAATCAAACCCGGTTTGGCCAGCCATTTCTAGTATATTCTCCAAAGGCCTGTGTACCCTCCCAGCTATTACTCTGCAAACTATCAAAGCTTTCCTTATGGATGGATCATCTTCAAGAATTTCAATAGACTCGAAAGCTCTTCCACTTGTGGAAGTTGTGAAGACGCCTATTCCTTCCTTGAGTTCCTTCTTGGCAGAGAAACCATTTCTTATTATCCGACAAACACAACATTTTTCTGACACACAAAGACTTGAGGAACCATTTAGGCCAAGCAAGCATGACACAGTTGTGCCATGGAATCTCAACAGCTCATTTCCATCGGCAATGCACCGAGGATGCTTCTTGGGAAGTTTGCTTGCTTTGTTCTTCACCATTTCCCTATATTCTTCGAATCGAGCAAGAGTTTTTTGCATATTGTGAACTTTCAAAACTCTCTCAATCCGGCCACAGTGGTTTTCTGACTTCAACCAACTTGTCCGGCATATAATTTCAACAATCTTTCTAGATGAATCACCTTCCACGAGTTCAGTAACTGCCCAAAAAGAAGAAAGCTTAGCTGGTTATGAAGAAAGCCTTTCAAATCTCAGGAACTGTGAAGAACATCAATTAATAGACTCAAGTTTAGATCTCACAAACAATTTAACTGCAGAAATTAAAACAAGCATTTCTCCTTTATTCTCATTTGGGGAGTTGATGAACACTTATACCAATTTGAAAGAAAAAACTGCACAAACTATTCAGTTTGATAGGAAAAAGGCATAGGAAAGGTATAACCTTTATCTCAGAAAAATATGTCTGAAAGAAAGAATATTCATGTGTAAAAGTGCTCACTAGATTTTGTGGTCATCGGGACATGCATGATTTGAAGCTTAGAGGATAAGAAATCAATGAGGGAAGAGCAACTACTACAAACAGAAGGAAAACCCAATTTTCAGAAGAAACTCAAAAGGAAGAAAAACCACGGAAATGGCTTACCGGCGTGTTTAGAGAGATGATGTGCTTCAGCAGCTTCCCATTTGGTGAATTGCTCTCCACATTTATGGCAAGTCACAATAGAACAGCCATTGGAGTCTGTCTCAAGAGAAACCCTTCTGCATGAATGGCCACCACCGCCACCGCTGCCGCCGAAGGCACCAGAAGCCCCAAAGAGAGACCTTTCCCTTTCTGATGAAAGAAAAGGAGACTTCCTCGGAGGAGTTGAGGGGTTCCTTAAAGAATGATTAAAAGAATGCACTATTGTATGCCCTCCGGGTCCGGGTGTACCCGGCCTCAATGTACCCACGAAGGTTGATCCGCCACCGCTAACACCACCACCACCACCACCACCACCACCACATCTATCATCACCACCACCATTGCCAACATGACCAACCCCTTCCTGGAACCCACCAAAGCCAGTGATTTTAAGCTCACATCTTGAGTTACTCAGAATGACTTCATGGGTAATTGGGTTTAGAAACTCACTGCTTCCTATGGATCTGGGGCTGCAGCTAGGGGGTTTTTCTAGATGTCTCTTGCTTCCATGGATGACATCCTTGAGATTTGCTATGGACCTTGAACACCCAGACCTCCCCCCTTTTCTTGTCGAGATTGTGCTCAATTGTTTCCTTGATTTTGGGTCATGAACATCTGATGGCTCTGATTTGCAGTGCAGAGATTTCTTCAAAGAGAACCAAACTGTTGGCATGTTTACTTCCCGCTCACTTTCCTTTCTCTTCTTTTCCCTCCTTCTCCCCTTACTTCATCTCCTACCCAGGTTTCATTTTCAGAAAAACATCACTTTCATACTGGCATTGGCTTGATTTTCCAACATGAAAACTGAAAAACAAGAATCTTTATATCAAGACATTACCTGGGAGTCCTTTTGCTGCATTTTCCTTCCCATTTCTTGTACCAGAATCAGAAGAATTCAGGGTGTACCCAGGGAAAATCTGGCATTCTAAATTTTGTGATGCTGTATAGAAAAGAAGTCTCTGTTAGAGCAAAGCAACCATCATTAGTTGAAAAGGTTTGGAGCTTTTTGTAAATGGTGATTCATGGAAGAGAGAAGACAGATGGAAAATAACTTAAGAGGAAAGAACCAATATCAGACCATGATAAAGGAGATAAAATACACTTCAAACTTGGAAGCAAAAAAATATCTATATTTGACATAAAATTCAATAAATAGAGAATCATCTGGCTCACAACGGCTCCAAGGAACCCAAGTTCAATGCCTATTAATCAAATGACAGTTACTGAGGGATTGGGATTACAGTGAAAAACAATTCTACAAAATTACCAACTCTAGGAACTATCAGCGCTGTAATCTGGCAGTGGAATTTAATCCCTGGTCTGTGGGTGGTGTTATTGCCACAGCTTCAAAGGTTAATACCACAGCTTTTTTAATTAATTGACCATTAACCCACGCGGAGAAGGTGATGACTGCTGCAAGTTGGATTCAAAATGAGGGGTATAATAGTCAAATAACTAAAAAAAGCTGTGGCATTAACATTAGTGGCTGTGGCAATAACCCCACCCCTGGTCTGTAGTACCATAACAACAAAAAAGAAACACTACAGGAGAGTAAAGATTCTGATGGTACAAATGTCACATTTGAAAAGAGATTTTCTGAAAAGGAAAGGAAATCACGTTGCAGTTACACATGAAGATTCTGAATCACTTGAGGCAGTTAGAGTTGAACTTTCAATCAAATTTTATTTGGATTTTTTTTTTTTTTAATATCCAAAGTCATATTAAACTTGATTAATTTAGTGTTAAACTGCATTAGACCCTAAAACTCTCTCATATTTATTTTTTTATTCATAAATCTTGAATTCAATATCCTTCCATTTAAATTAATAGTTATTGATACATTTGGATCTAAAAATGATTTAGACTTAATCACTTTTTTGATGCTACATTTCATTATGCTAAACATGGTAAAGAAAAAAATTACAACTCAAATATTTTTCATTGAATTAGGACCATGGAAAATGTAGGATTCAAGCAGAAAATGGTAAAAGATGCTTAGGCAGAGCATGTGTTTTAGTTCAGTTTATCCATGGTAACTCTAACTTTTAATGTGATTACAACTATATTCCTAGTAAATATGTTCGGAATTTCTAAATATATCTCACCAAACCCTGGAAGGAATTTGATTTGGGAATTTTGGGGTTTTAGGTGTAGATTTTACTCTTCTGGCACTTAGAAATAAGACATTTCATTTACATGAAACTATTTTTTGTGTATGACTCTAAAATTAAGATACAAATATAATTCCATTCTGAAAGTGAAGGAATTGCATAAAATAAACTAAAATAAATCACTTCCAAAATATAACATAGTGGTGGATAGAGGAGCATATGGGTTTTGGACCACCTCACACCTGTCCTACTGTAAAGCAAGAAACTCACCACTTTGTAAAAGGATGAATTTCCACCCGCAACAGATGGGTTGTTTAATTTTGATGATGTATGGAATAATACCAAGATCAAAAAAGAAAAAATCTACCTCAAATTCAATGTAGTTTTGACACTTTATTTTTGATGCTAACCCCTCTCCCCCGTCGTTGGTTAATTTTGACACTTTATGCTAGAAAAACAAATCAATTTTTTCTTGCATGTAAAATGAAAAATGCTTTCCATCATACATAGAATAGAATTACGTTTAATAGCATATGTGATGTTTTGTGCTCTTTAAGGGATTGGATAGTTAGGAACAGGTTTGTTTTGCGTTTTCTAATTAAGATTTGACTCGGAGAAATTTATATGAAAATCACCTCTAATTTTGTAATTACCATTGGAATCTAAATAACATACTTTTAATTGAATTGAAGTAACCTCAATCACTCGCATGTTGTTGATCTAATGGCAACCAAAAACTTGTGTTTTTAACACCACATTGTGAGCTATCAAAATCTGGGAATCAAAACACCAAGTAACAAAAGTAATAAAACCATAATCCAAGAATCCAATTGTTGTATGCAAATTTAAATTTTATTTACAATCAAATTTAGATAATTAAGTTACTTTTCCTTTATCCTATATTTGAGTTGAGAGGAATAGAGGGAAGAGAATGAGAGGAGAAGTGAATTATAGTCTTTCATTTCTCTCCCTACTCCTCCCTTTCTCTTATTTGGATACATAACTAAATTAAAAAAATATATAAAGTAAAAGAAAATTTTCCCTCATCTCTTTTGTAATTTTTTCTTACAACCAAATAAAGAATTTTTTTTCCTTCCTCTCTTTCCTTTATTCCCTTCAACACATACATACTATTAAAAAAACAAAGAGAGAGAGAAAGAGGTTTGGTCTAGTGATTTTCTTTGACCAAAATTGTATCCAAAGAGGGGAACCCTTCATGCCACGGGCATTCCCCCAAGACGGGTTGAAACATGCCATATATATTACTTCCTTTGTTCCACTATATTAGTTGTTTTGACAAGAAAAAATTGTTCCTAAATAATTAATGTTTTAGCAAATTAAGATTGCATTAATTTTTTTGTTCCAAATTTATCTTCACTTGTGTTTTTTTACAAATTCATCTTCCTTCATTAACTATTCAATTTTGAAATGGTATAATAGTATTTTAATCTTAAAAATCTCTAAATTTAAGAATAATTAATTAATTTTCTTAATTCTTGTGTACATCTTTAAAACTTACAATAAATTGGAACAAAGGGAGTATCATTCTAAAATTTTGAGCACCTTTTACGCTTTCTTTACCCTTAATTTGTTGATTAAAGGAGAAACAGTAATAAATACAATAATTGATGAACCTAAACTCAAAAACAAATGAGTAATTTAGAAAAGTGAGGAGCTCATTATTACCTTTAAACACTGAGCTCAATGCAACTTCGGAAGAAAAGCATAGAAAGATGGTGAAAAAGAGGCAAGACATATGTAAAGTCGAAGAGACGCCGTAGAAATAGCACCTTACACAATTAATCAAGTCTTTTTGGTGGTATGAAAGAATTTATTGAAATTACTCTCTGTCTACTTTCCATAGTATTCAAATTTTTCTTAATAATAAAAAAATCCCCTTATCAACCAACCATGCTAATGTCTAGGGACTAGGGAAACATAGTCATAGATTCACAGTTAAGCGTTACTTGATTATAACTTCAATGCTCCTTGTTTTTTGGTTTTGAGATTTTTTTTTTCTTCATATTGTCATCTTGCTGTTAGACATTAAAGAGGCACACTAACATATGAAGTACTAGCAATTTAAAAAGACCCCATTAATTGTTTACCGTTCTAACGCTTCAATATTTCATAATCTAAGGACTAGTGGGAAACAACAGCCATAGAAGTGGTCTGGCTCTTGAAGTGAAAGTCAGAGTTAAGGTGTCGGTTTATGTTAATGCACCCATTAAATGCAAACGCATGATGTAGTCTCCGGGTAGACCTGGTAAATGTGTGGGTTGAGTCGGGTTAGAGTCGAGTTAGAATGTGTCACAAGTTAAAATGAGTTGGGTTAAAATGAATTATAAATCAATAAAAATTGATTTTAATTCATTTATCACGAGCCACGTGAGTTGATCAAATTAAATTTTTTTTTTTTATTTCTATAGTATGTACTTATTACCATTCAAATTATTTTGAATGGTTTTACAATCTAAAAATTAACATTTAAACACTAAGTTTCACATAAACTAACTAAGTGGGTACAAGTAGAATAGAATCACATCTCAAGAAACTACCAAAATTTTAAATTTTAAATATCTGATGGTATTGCCGATCTCATCTCTAAATTTCTTACGCATCCCTTCCATCCTTCCTATCTATTTGCTAGAAAAATCCTAAATTTCGTTACATTTCTGGTACCTAAAATCAATTTGGCACGTTCAATTGCATTTTAAGATTATTTTTTAAAAAAACTTTACCTCTAACTCAAAATTTTCAATTCAGTTGTCTTTTTTTTTTTTAATCTTTCAATATCATTCGCTATTCAAAATTTTGAATCATTTCTAAAACATAACATCCTATAAAATTTTCCATTGGACATCAATACATTGCTCCAACTATAGCTCTTTCAACTTTTAAAATTTTACACTGGAACATAGCATGGATTGAGCTTTCTTTTTTTTCATTTTTCTTTTAAAAAAAAATTTATATTGTATATTATTTGCCGAAAACAAAATAAATAAATAATAAATTAAAAATTTTAAATTATTATTAGATGAGCAAATGGGTCAAGTCCGTTGACGTGTTGGGTCAACTTGTTATTGACTTGTGATTTGTCGGATTCTTAATGAATATCTAACCTTAACCCGTTTTAAGCAGGCAAATAATAGGCGGGTTAGTAGGTTAAGTAAAAAATTATTAAGTTTATCTCTGGGCTTTGAATTTTGCCCTCATTTTCAAAGAGCATATACCATTTTCCAATTACTGTTAGAGGGAGAGAGAAAGGAAAAATGATAATTAATGGACATTTTGCATCTAATATTGAATTATGGGTTCCAAATAGGGAAAAGACCTAATGCAACTCTTTGCATCTCCTTTGTCAATTTTTTTTTTTCAAAATTTCTCTCTTTTTCTGATTTTACCTTGAAAGTTTCTAGGGAATTGTAATGCAATTTACCCCACAACAAAACTTTTCAGAGGCCATGAATCCAGTCACATGACTGAGATGGGCATACATGTTTCCATGTTCCATAAAACCCGACATGTGGGGAATCAGCGAGCAATCCTAGTGCCACAATATCTTTTAAAGGGGAAAAAAAACAGAAGAAAAAAAAAAGAGTAGGATCAAGATGAAAGAGATAACCAATGTTGTGACAAAAGAAGTTGACATTTCTTTATCACCTTCCTTCTCTTTTTGCATATGGATGTAAAAAAGTGAGTCGGTACGTTACTCATCATAGCTTAGGTTTCGTGGCATTGTCCTTCTCATGCTATCCTATCATTGAGATTGAAATTGAAGTTCTCCATAAAAGGTTTCCTCCTCCTTCAGCCATCTAACGATTATTTCTCTGAGTTTACAGAGAAAAATGGCAAATGTATATGCTTTTGTTTGTGTATTGACTGTGGCTGTTGATGTAGCTGCTGGTGTTCTCAGCATTCAAGCAGAAATTGCTAAAGATGAGGTGGGACATCTTGAATTTAATAGGGTTGAAAACGTTTACTTTCTTTTCATGTAATTCTTTCAAGAAGTGTCAAATTTAAAACCTTGAACAGGTAGCATACAGGAGACTAGAAGATTTTGAGTGTCAAGAGCCGAATAATCGCGCTTTTAAGCTTGGTTTGGCTGCAGCAACACTGCTTGCCTTGGCACATATTACTGCAAATTTGCTTGGAGGGTGCATGTGTTTATGCTTCTCAGAAGAACTTGAAAGATCGTCCTCTAGCCGCCAATTATGGTTCGCTTGTATCATTGTTTCTTGGTGAATCTTCCTTCTCTTCCTCTTCTTCTTCATCATCATCAATATTCTATCTTATGAATTACTTCACTGTGATCTTTTCAAATACTATGTAAATGTAACAGTTTTAGGGCCCAACCAACCATCATTCCTGCTCTTCATCTTGATTCATGTTTCTTCAACACATAGAAATCCCCTGTTGTTTTTGGTTTGACATGTTCTGTGGTAGCCATTTATCAGGATTGTTGTGGCTATTGGGTTTCCAACACTGGTGATGGGGATGCTGGAGAATTCGAAATCAAAATGGTCATGCAGGGTTTTGCATCATCATTTTCTGTTCATTGGAGGGATATTCTGCTTTATACATGGCTTGTTAACTGTTGCATTTTTTGTGTTTGCAACTCTGTGCTTTAAAAATAGAAGAGTTCAAGGTTCTCAAGTGGGACAACGACCAGAATTACATCTTCCTGACCACTGACCAGCTGCATGGAAAACAAGAGGAAAATGGTTTAGTTAGAACCCGTTTGGAAGCTGAGAAAATGCATCAAATTGGGTGTTTGTTTTTCCCTTTTGTGCGGTGTTGAGGACTTGCCTTATGATGCTAGAGTTCGGATTCTCATGGCCCAGAGCAGACACCCGCCTAGCAAAGCATAGCTATGAAGACAAACACTTTTGGCAAAAACAAGAAAAGGAAAACTTTCTCCGGCATGTTCAAATTTTTCTTGAGAAGATGAACAGAGGAGTGGAAATTACAAGTCAACCTTATAATTGGTTTGCTAGAAGACATTAGTAATTAGTGAAATTTGAATTTATTTTCAATTTTTCATCCAACTTCTAACTTTTCTCAATCAAGTACTCATTTTTATTGGTTTCAATTAAAGATATATTGCCAGTTTTTGTATTTTCGATCGTACTTGTTTTTGTTTATATTGTTGGTCTTTGAAGGCAATAATTTGCATGGGTAGATAACATAATACAAGGAATGAAAATTTGGAAAGAAGAATGAATATTTTAATTGCAATGATAATGTTACAAGTGTGTACAAAGTACATAAAATTAATGGTCATTTGAACAATATTGATTCTTCATGGCAGCAAAATCTTGAAAACTTGTTCTTGTATAATCAATTCTGCATCCTGCAATTAATGAATAAACAAGTTAGAAATCATTTAGAACCCTTTGAATAAGTTTACAAAATAATGTTATGTAATCTAAACTATATTAGATTATATAAAACTTATTATTGGATAGAAGAATGAGGAGGGGCTTTCCTTCCATTCAATGGCTTCTATTTTGTATACTCTCATGCAGTTTGATCTGTAAAACAAAGTTCTTATTGGGAATCAAAATGAAATCCCCTTTTGTTCCTAATTGAGTGAAATGTGAGAAAAATCTAGCTTAAGCCCCCTCTGTCTCAACTCCCTGAAAGGTCAAAAAAACGTGCAGAAGGAGATGGAAAAATACGCAAGTAAAAAGAAGTGGCAGGTTTCAACGTAACACATGAAGAATTGTGTGGGAGGCATTGATGGGATGATCCACATGCATGTTGGCGGTAGCTGTGTCTCAGTGGTGTTGTTGGGAGGCGGAAGCAGAAGGAAATGCGTGTATGGTTGGAGAGAAATCAGAATCAGGAGTGGAAATATTACGGGTTTCTCATCCAGGCATATTAGTGGGCTCAAAAATCCAATTGAGAATAAGAATTGAGATCTGTCAAGGTTCAAATTGAAAAGTAATTTCATGAATTTTTTCTCCTCTTTTGCGCTTCGTTTCGATTCTAATGTCATGAATTAATGGCTTAAAACTCTTGGTGTTGCAAAGTTAATGTTGAATTAAAGCAAGAAACTGGAGTTTGCTTGGAATGAGATTACAAAATGAATTTCAAAAGTCCAACAAGTATTTTTTGCACGGGCATAATCCAGCTTAACATGTTGGCGAGAGTTCAAATTTATGTGACTCCTTCCCCAACCTCTCCCAAGGTTGAACCACTTGCCTTTCCCTATATATATATATATATGAAATGCTCCAACGCTGGTCTGGTCGTGCATGTGATTAACCTGAAGCATGGTTAGACGAAAGTCCTGCCCTACAACCTTATCTATGCTATGGATATGACTAGATTACGACATCAGGCAGAGACTTCCAGATTGGTATCATCTTGGGCAGATTAAGCATACAAAATTTAACTTCATCACTGGTCCCAACTTCGCTCCAACACCCTAAAGATCTCCCAATACCTGCACATAAGACTATCAAGTGCATCAAGTGAGATATCCAAACAACAAATTCCCCTAAAATCTGAACTATCCTACAATTCAAGAAATACTAAACTGGCACGCTCTAAACACATCCCAAAATGTGCTAATAGTAAGCTCAAACTTTCTCCCTGTGGATGAAAAATAACCATACAGAAGATTGACAATTGCAGCATCCAAACAAAAAAATGTCCCAAAATTCAAGATATGAGCTCTGAAATCTTCTTATTTTTTGAGTTCATCAGCCAACAAACTTCTGCGACATTCCAACAGATAGACTAGCTCCTCAATGCTGACTACATCTCACAGGAAATCAAAGCTGATACTCTTCTAGCTAATAGTTTTAATTTTGTATGGTCTAATATGAGATCCCAGATTGCTACTATAGCCAAGATACTTTTGACATAGCATCTAAGGTCTAAAAGGTAACTAATGTTTCATCTAAGTTTGAAAACTCATAACAACGAAAACGTTCCAGAATCTAAGCCTAGAAATGGAAGTGAGCCTCATTCAGGTTTGATAGAGATTGGGGCACCTAAGACTATCTCACCATGGTATAATTTTACTAACTAAAAGCTGAGTAAGACTCCTAATAAATTTCTCTAATCAAACTACAATCACCTGCTAATACTGTTCCTTTTGTGACGTAGCATCTAAGCTCTAAAAGGTAACTAATTTTTCTATATCTTTTGTGACTTGCTTCAGTTTCAAGGTAAAACCAATGACAAATAAATCCTATAGTCTTACTTCAACTGAAGGAAAAGGAAATGACTAAAGTAACCTTGTGGGTCTTGGATGTGCACAGCAGTAACTATCTAAAATAGAGGAATGCTAGGGGCACTCGCTTTCTGCACTCTCGGCCAACACTTCCCCTTTTATTGGGCCGCGTAAGCTTCTTTAAAGCTTTCATGGGCAACCTCTAAAAACCAAAATAACATGGCCCAATAAAAGAGAAAGTGTTGGCCGGAGAGTGCATAAAGTGAGTGCCCCTAGCATTGCTCATCTAAAATATCAAACATTCAACGACGAATCTTGAAAGCACTCTTTTCATTCATGCTCTACATGGCTCTGGTCCCCCATCAATGATTACTTAAATTCTGATGTTATAAATCAAATTAAACATGGACAAAAAAGACTTCTACTTTTAACTTTTATTCTTTTTTGTGAGACAGTATGGTATAATTTCTATTTCAGTCGGGTTATGGACCTTATTAAATCTAAATCAAAATTGGAATAGATGTCCTTTTTAATTTGGTAGGTTCTAGATCTATCTCAGGCTTCAAATTAAGATAAAAGATATGATTTATCAAATATCAATATTAGGCTAGCCCAAACGGTAAGAACAATGCTCCATACTTATTACTTTAATTTTGCACTCTTAATAACAAGCCGTCATTCTCCTATTTCAAAAGTAAAAACTATGGTGAGAAGTTTCATAAACAATTAAAGCTTTATAAACCAGTTGGGGTATTAAAAATAGATGTGATCATCCTCTCCCTTCAACTTCTAGAAGACTTGATTCTATTGTCTATCTAGTGAGTGAAATTTTATACTCATAGCAACCAGCATAAGGCATGTCAACATTTAAATCTACAATATCTCCTAATAACCTTTCTAAAATAAACTAATTGCCCTAGAGTTATAGAAAACTCCAAATTTATATTGCATTTTGAACTCTTTTGATTAAATATGGCCTCAAATTATAATGATTCTCAGACACCATCCCTTCAAAGACATCACATGCCTTAGAATCTACTTTATCTAGGTATAACTCACATTTGCTCAATAAGGCATGTAACTACTTTTGCCCTTTAGTCTACTTTGACCTGATCATGCTTATGGTTAATCACATGCGCAACTCTGACAATATGGAAGCACTTTTACCATGGCATGAATTTGGGCTTTTCATACACAAAATAATGCATGATGAAATTCACATTTAATGCATGATTCTCATGTTTTAACTTTTAACAATGAATTTATAACATAAAGTCTCAGAAATGACAAAAATGGAAAAAAAAAATTCAAGAAATAACTATTTATTCAAACTTAGAAAGATTTCAAAACTTAAATTGAATGAGATTTTAAGCAAAAAAACCCAAATGGGAAAAATCCCATTATATCCTCACTTCATCCTCCCTTTCTATTGTCATACAAACATTTCAAATTATCTTACTTCTACTCTCAACTATCAAGATAGAGTGATAAGTTGGAATTTTATGGATATTAATGTAGATTTTTTGCCTTGATATTATTGATAATTGGATGATTTTTATGAAATTTTACTTAATTTTATATAGTTTTCATTCCTTGTGCAAAAGAGGACTAAATTGGAAGAAATTGCAATATTTAGGACCAAAATGAAGAAATCAGAACTATGAGGATCAAAATGTTAATTGATGAAGGATGAGAGACCAAACAGTTTTACCAATGAAGCATCAAAATTGCATTTCGGTCCAAAATCTCTGACGAGGACTGTCTCGGCGCTAATTATTTCGGTGTGGACCCATATCTATTTCACTTACATTTTTTTTTTGAGCAATACTAGGGGCAATCGCTTTCTGCACTCTCCGGCCAACACTCTCTCTTTTATTGGGCCACGTTATTTTGGTCTTGAGAGGTTGCGCCTGAAAGCTTTAAAGAAGCTTACGTGGCCCAATGAAAGG